CAGGCCCAAGATTACACTACCAATATTCTTTAGGCTTCTTGCTCTTGGAATACTAGAGTAAGTCTCTTTCAGAAAATAGCATCTTTTTCTTTACAAATACAAAGTTTGGATCCATACAACTTTTAACTCTTTCAGGCCTACAAATTTAACATAGACATGTTACGTGTACTTATAACTAGTTAATCGTGTGGTGTAAGAATATAAAAGTTTTTGTTTTTTTTTGCTAAAAAAGAATAAGAATATAAAAGTTAGTTATAGATTTAGTTGTGATGCAAATTCATGAGATCAGGTACGTTAATTACCTCGTAAAAAAAAACTATACTCTTAAAAGATATTAACTACACTAACAGATTTTTTGTATAGACATAAGTTTAGCTCTCTATTCAGGGATTGAATATACAGTTAAAAAAATAGATTTGTTTGAAATATTTAGAGAGGAAAAAAATGATGGAATTGGTATATATTGAATATTGGGAATGAGATCATCAAGCATAACAAACATCTTTTAATGTGGAAAAATGATGTGTGCCCACTGCTAATCCTACCCTACGTATACGGTTTCCTTTTGATCTTTCGAAAAAGCATCTACTTATGCAAACAAAAAGATGATGTGAAAATAAATGAATTAAATAAAATGTTTGGTTATATGAATCAGGCCCCTTATGGACCAGAACTTCTACTACATAGGATTGAAATCCACGTCAGCATCGTACACTTCTGCCTTTACCAATGCACTTCCCGCCGTCACCTTCATTCTCGCCCTCATTTTTAGGTACCTTTTCTTTTCCTCTCGTTATATTAATTATTCATCTTTGGACAGTTCGGCAAAACCAAATATCCGATGCTAAATAAATCCTATTTTTAAATATTAAAAACTACCCATATGCAATCATAATATTTGGTAGACGTTAATTAGCTAATCGGGTATTTCTAGGGTTAAATTGCCAATTAACCTTCGATTTATTATTACCTTTTTTATAATATTTGCATAGAAGAATTAATTACAGGTAAGGTTTGTTTTCGCCTGATTAGGATCCTATACTATTATTTAACAAACCATGTAATAACTCTACTAACACTAATAGATATTTTACGTAGCCATGTACTATAACTGTTTTTTTTAACATGCCATATATATACTATCACTTAATTAAATTAGAAAAAATACAAACAAAAATATAACATGGTGTTTTTTTCTTGATGATTCATTTATCAGGCTTGAGACAGTAAACTTCAGAAAGATACGCAGTGTTGCAAAAGTGGTAGGAACGGTAATAACCGTGGGAGGAGCAATGACTATGACTTTGTACAAAGGTCCAGCCATCGAGATCGTGAAAGCCGCCCATAATTCCTTCCACGGTGGCTCCACCACCCCCACCGGCCAGCACTGGGTCACTGGTACCCTAGCCATCATGGGCAGTATTACTACTTGGGCTGCTTTCTTCATTTTACAAGTAAAACTAAACAATATTTATTTATTTCTCGTAAAAATAAAAATTAACTTGGCCTTCGTTTCAGCAAAATTCGAATACTCGATGTTAAATCTAAAAAATAACAAAATTGATTTTGTAGTCATTCACGTTGAGAGTCTACCCGGCCGAACTGTCACTAGTGACGTTGATCTGCGGCATAGGATCCATTCTAAACGCCATTGTTTCCCTAATAATGGTTCGTGACTTGAGCGCTTGGAAAATCGGCATGGATTCGGGCACACTCGCTGCCGTTTACTCCGTAAGTTTTTTTTTTTCACTTAAAAAATAAATACTGATTAATTTATCAAATCAAAACTTAAATATTTGTGTTATTTTGTATTAGGGAGTGGTATGTTCGGGCATAGCATATTACATACAAAGCATTGTGATTAAGCAACGTGGTCCTGTGTTTACGACGTCGTTTAGTCCCCTTTGTATGGTCATTACATCAATCCTCGGCGCACTTGTTTTGGCTGAGAAAATCCATCTAGGAAGGTATGATAATAGTACACACTAATTCTTTTCATTTTTTTTTAAAGAAAGCTAATTAGTAAGTGATTAACGTTTTGGATGGTATTATTGTAATAAATGCAGTATAATCGGGGCAATATTCATCGTCATTGGACTATACAGTGTGGTGTGGGGGAAAAGTAAGGATGGAGCAAATCCCTTGGAGGAGAAAATCGTAACCCAAGAGCTTCCGATTGTTAACATAGTCAAACCCACCAACGGTCACGATTTCCCTGCAGCACCAGCTAATGGTGTGGTTACCAGTACCTGATCATATCCCCCAAAAAGAAAGATACAAAAGACAAAGATTTCATCTCTAAGTTTTGAAGACTAAATTTCCATTGGGGTTGGAAATTTTTTATATCTTTCTTCTTGTTGTTTTTTTGTGCTTTCTTTTATGTTTTGTTGTTTAACATTTCCAAATCGCTCTACTCTTTAACTTTAGTATATTTACGTATGTAAAATGTTTCTTCTGCTTTAGTATCTTTTTACCTATGTAATGTTTTGTTGTATTTTAGAATTTTCAGTGGCAAAATGATGAATCAATCATTTGGTGAAACATAGTTACTTTTTTTTTGTCATCTCGTGAATTATCTTAATCGGAAATAAATTTCAAAATATTACATCAAGATGTTAGCCAAGAAGAGAACGTGCCTAGCACTTAGCCAAAAAATTGGATCAAACTGATCCCAACATCACCAAAAGATGGGATTAGCCTTATACAATATTCACACCAAAACTATATTTAGCAATCAAGGAGAGGACCTCCCTTTCTCATTGTCAAAGATATAGAGCAAAAGTTTACCTAGCTAGAAATGAATCAATCATTTCGAAGATGTAAAGGTTTATGCAAAAGTTCACCTAGCTGGAAATGGTAAGATGGCGAAGCCTGTGGACGATTAGTGACCCCAACATTCAGTTTCCCCACCCTGGTCAGTGTTGTTCT